CTCTTCCGGCGGAAGGCTTCAACTGTCACCGCGTTATTCTGCTTCCCGGCTGGGACCGCAGTCTCTGGGGAACGTGGGGACAGTGGGATGACTGACGGGGTGGGCGTCCAGAGGTGAGCTGGGTTCACAGCTTCCCCAGGCGGGCCCCCGGATGTTGCCGGGCCATTGCGTCCCCGCATTCGGGCCCTACGCTCTGGCACCAGATGAATGGATTAGGGGGATCAGAGACACCCGCTCCTCTTGTGCCCCGCCCCCTGGGTAGGGGACTTCCCCCATGGGTCAGGCCAACAGCCCGGGAGCCCCTGAGAAGCATGGGTCCCCGCTGCTTGGCCCCGTGTCAGAGAGGTCATCCTCGCACATGGCTGGCCTCTGTGCTCGCCTTCAGTGTTCAGGCCCACGTCACTCCTCTGACTTCTCATTCAAGATAATTCCAGAATTTTAGGCCACTCTGGGGCCTCCTCCCTGACTTGCGTGGGCGGTGGGCCTCTTCCAACATTGAAAACCAGGGTTAAAATATGAATGTTACAACTGCTGTTGGCATAAAGATGAATATGCTGATAGGTATTAACATATTTTCTTTGGCCATAATGTTACTTTTTCCCTTTTCATTTGGAAAGAAATTAGCACATGTCCGTGGGTCTCTAAAAGCATTGTGGGCCCCAGGTCCTGTCACTGTCCTGACAGGTCAGCCCACCTCCTCTGTCCCCCTCTGCTCACCCTGAGAGAGCCCACTTTCAGAGGCCTTACTGAGTGGGGGAGGGGTACGTATCCAGCTTTCTGAGCTGGAACACAAAAGGACGCCAGTGGTCCCCAAGGGACGACCTTGGGAGGCCTTCCAGCTCTGGAGCTATAATTAGAGCCACAGGCTGGTGGGCCAGCGGCAGGAGACATGGAGAGCTCACCCCGCACCCGCCCTGGCAGAAGGAGGCACCGGATCTCTGCAGGGCTTGTGCAGGGCGGGTATGTTTCCAGAGGGCAGTGCTCCCTCCACAAGGGCTTTGGGGGACCCCTGCAGGGGGCTGGGGGCTGCCATCTTCCCCAGGGCACACTCCCTCTACGTGCTAGCTCTTTCTTCCCGCCACCCACTCCGGATTCCAGACCCAGAGCCCTGTCCCGGCTTGCCCTCCCCACCTGGAGCCGCGTTCTGCAGAAGAGGCCATCAGGATGTGGCAGGACTCTCCCCCAAGATGTTTCCCGGGGCCTGGTAAGTCATGGGGCCGCAAGACATGTGCTCAGTGTCAGGTACCCAGGAGTTTCCCTCGGATGCCTGAGAGCCCAGCTGACTAGTCTCCGTCCAGCTGACCAGTGCTCCGTCCTAGGATGTGGCCCATGCAGCCCAAGTCTCGTGGCCAGAGACAGTGGGAGGCTCCAAGTGCCTCCCAGGTCCCTAATGCCCGCATCCTCCAAAGCCACTCAGAGCTGGCCCCTCACCTGCTCTAGCCCCCAACCCCAGCAAACCTGGGCTTGGCTTCCTCCCCACCTTTCCAACCTCCACCATTGGGGATGCAAGGTCCAAATCCCATTCCTCACAGGAAACTGGGCCCTGTTACTTCCGAGAGGGCATTCCTGGCTCGTCTCTCTAAATCAGCGGCCCTAAATCCTTAGCCTCCAGCCGGTGGCCCCAGTGCCACCCAGACCTTGGCTGGGAGCAGCCAGGCAGCCTCTGGCCTGTGTGTACCATTCAGAAGGGAAGGAAAGAGGGCAGCTGGGAGGACCAGAACCTGATTCCCTGACTCAGGAGGACAGTTCAGGCAGAAGGGCCAAGGCCAGCCCAAGCCTCCACACTGGGGGCCGAAGGCCAGCGTCGGTCCCAGGGCACCCGTGCACGGTGGCCACCCTGCCCTTTCTCTATCCTTCCTCCTCCCTCTTTCCCTCTCTGCGTCTTGGCTTTCTGGCAGAGCCCCATCTACAAGGACAACTGAAACTTTATAGGGCATGATTCATCGGGCGGCGCGCCCCTCGGAGCCATGGCGCATATTACATTAATCAGTGTCAGACCACTAAAGCCGAGATATGAATATGAATCCTCCATATTGCAGGGGAGATAAATGTGCTTGTGAATATAATTGATCAAAGGAGGGAGGGAGGGATGGTGAGAACAGAGGTTTCAGACTCTAGGTCAACGACTTGGGAGGGAGCTGCGCCCACTCCCCAAATCTTCAAGCTGGGAACACGGGGTAGGAGCGGGGAATCTAGAAGGGGTGTGCTTCTAATGGTTTCCCTATCATGGGCCCGAACTAGAGCAGAAAAAGCAGGGTTTCTACACAGCACTTCCTACCCTTCCTTACCAGAAGATTCCACAGACAGAAGTCCTCTGCCCCAGACACGGGCTGTCCTATTTCCCCGTCAGAGGAAGGGGCACAAATATTAATCTTGTAGATATCCCTCATTCCTATCCCTTTTTGGGGTTCAGTCTCCTCCTTGCTGGTCTCAGAATTACCACCATCTGAAACTGTCCCTAGGCAGGCATCGAGTATGAGAGCACCTTAGCATGTGCAGAAAGTTCCAGAAGAATTTTTGCTTTGGCTGTGGAAGAAAAAGAAGTTTCTATGTCTACTCCCAGATATTTCACGAGCTGGAACACCACGCACAGGGGCCGCTGGGGTGCCGCACGCCCTAGGCGTGCACACTCAGGTGGCTGAGCTGGTCGGGAAGGATGGAAATAAATCATGCACAAAGAACAAAAATGATTTTTCAATGCTTGATTAAAAATTCATTTCTACCTTCCCACTCGAGACAAATAGTTCCAAGGCTAGAGATCTGATTTCTTTGCATGGGAAACTTTGGTCAGCAGGGCGGGAGGGAGGGGCACAGACCCTTCAAGACTTCTAGGCCACTGGGTTCTCAGGGCTGGGACTCAACTGGTGAGCAAATCTGGTCCAGCCCCCTGGACAGCAGCGTTTGGGGACCCCAAAGGCATTGGACGGGGGAAAAAAAAAAGAATGGAAACGGGGGGCATGCAAACAGTGATGCCTGCACGGGGTCATCTACTTCGTTCTGGGAAGAGAGTCCTCCGCCAGTGGCACAAACCCTACCGCCCACCTGACTCCCACCTGATGCTTGCAGCGGTCACCCAGGGGGGACCCACCCGCACATCCCGGCTGCCACAGCATGTCTGTGCGCCAAGAACGCCATTCCTCATCCGAGGAGCGAGACCGCTGGTCAAAACTCTCCAGACGGCACTCTTGCCAAGGACGCGGGATCCATCTGTGTCCAGTGGTCAGGGGAGCCCCACGTCGAGGGCAGACCAGGAGCTCCTCTCTAAATTCCCACCCAGACGATGGAAACGCCCTGCGTCGAATTGGGCACCCACTCCTGCCCACCAATGCCAGCAGCCCGACCAGCAGGCCCGCCATCACACCCCCGAATTCAAACAACCGGTGACACCCAAGATCACAGAGACAGCCCGACCGCCACAAATGGAGGCTCCTGCGCGCGGCCCCTCCGAGGCCCAGCCACCCGGGATCCTGCGTGCGCCCCGGCGCCCCGGGAGCCGGACCAACGCCACGGTCAGGACCCCATTCCGCTTCCAGCCCATAGAGGGCGCGCCGAGCACGTCCATCCGGACGCGAAGCGCCTCCACCGCGGCCGCGGCCCCAGCGTGCCCGCCTGCGGACGGCCCTCCCCGGCGCCCGCGGCCCGGCTCCCCCTGCGCGCCCAACGCCCAGCTCCCCCACCCCCGGGCCGTCCGTGCGCGCTCTCCCGCGGCCTCCGCGCCGCCTCTGCCACGCTTCCTCCAGCCTCGGGAGCGAGGACACCCCTAACTCTCGTACGAGGACGGGGTGGCGTGGGGGGCCCGGAGAGGGGCAGTCCCCACGTCCTCGGCGCGAGCCGCCCCTCTCCCGCCGCAGAGGAGCCAGCGGCAAAGCCCCAGGCCGCCCCAGACGCTCCCCTTGGGCAGACCGCCCCTCGCCGCCACCGGCGGGGCCCGACAGCTGCTGCTGCTGCTGCTGTTGCAAGGGCTCCGGGGCGATTACCCGGCCTGGGTGGGGGGTGGGGAGGTCCCGTCCTGCACCGGGGACCCGGCTTCCTTCTCCCCGCGCGAGTTCCCCTGCGGCTCACGCCCTCACCCGCGGTCTTGTTCACGCTTGTGTTCCCAGTTTTCGCCAATTCTGCATCAAGTCGTCTGCGCCCCGTTTGAAGTGCAGGCCGCTACGGCGGGTCCGCCCCAAGTGCCCGGAGGCCCGAAGTCCTGACCCGGAGATTTCCTCCGGCTCCTGGGCCAGGCCCCACATGCGCCTCGGAGGCCAGCTCCGTCCGGCTTCGTCCCACCATCGCTCCCAGCTACCGCTCAGACCCGGACATCAGTGGTTTATTTTCCCTGGGCTCTCTCGGCGCGCCCAGCCCAGGGCGCAGGGGTCGAGGGGGCTTCCCTGGGAGACTAAAGCCACCTCCCCTCTTTCTCCGCAGCCCCCAGGCCCACACGCCCAGAGAACTCCCGCGCGGCATCTCTGCCCACGCATCCGGACAGTTTAAAAGAGCCTTCCAATCTCTCCACGTTTGGTTTAACCAAGTAACTAAAAAATACACTCAAAGCCAAAATTTCATACTCCATTTTGTCCTCGCTCTACCCACGAAACGACCCGACGCCAGGATGCACTGTGGAGACAACTAGTTATAAACTGATTTCAAATCTGAAGTTCTCCTTTGGGGGCATAATTGGAAATTCTTTTCATTTTTTTTTTTCTCCCATTGTTGTCCACTTTAAGAAACCGTTTTATAAACTGCTGAAAATCGAACTCATTGATGTCCCGAGAAAGGCATGCCCCGGATAAACGTATAAAGGTCGGAAATCAAAACTGCCAACAAGAAACTGCCCGAGTGACAACATTCACAAATTCAACGACAACCAAAACGGGCTGTGAGAAACACCCGCCTCCAGCGGCAACTCCCCAAGGAGCCTCTCTGCCCAAGCCAGGGGCACCTGGGCCCTGCTGGCATTCCAGGATTCCGGACACTCCTGCGGACGCCCAGCCACACACAGCAGCGGGAACAGCGGACAGCATTTCATTTAGTTTATTAGACAAAAATATATGATTTAGACAAGTTCGCTGACGCGCTATTTACAATCTGAAATCACTCTATATACAGAAAGAAGAAGAAGAAAAAAAAAAAAAAAAAGACACAAGCACGTGGGGCGTTTACCGAGCGGATAATCAACCGGAGCCTGGTGACAGGCACCAGGGCCCTGGGCAGAGGCCGGGCTGCCTGGACTGGAGCTCGGACGCGGACGAGCCCCTTTCTGCAGGAAGCGTTGGATGGGAGTCGGTGACGTCGTGGCCCTATTTGTCCTTTACACAGGTCTGAAATATTTGTCCTAATTCCTCCCTCCTCCCCTCCCTCCCGAACTCCTCCCCCCTCCCCCCGCAAAAGTAAAAGACGACCCTGGATCAGGCGGACGGGAGGGCTGCTAGGATCCGCGGCGTTCCCTCCTGCGGGGCCAGCGAGCTGCGGGCGAAGCACAACGAGACAAGAAAGCACAGCAGTGTCAGTGGCCGGACGCCGGGACCCGGCGTCACCGGTGCAGCCGGCCTAGCGCCGGGGGGCGTGGCCGCCTGCCCCGCTGCTCCCGCGTCGGGAGAAACCCGGTGGAGGGGGCGCCCCGCGCGCACGGCTGGCGGACGGCACCCCCTCTACGAGGCCCGAGCGACCCTACCGCCGCCCCGAGCCCTCCGCCGGCACCCCCGCCAGCCCCGGTCCCGCGGTCCCAGCAAACAGCACTCACTTGTCGCGCACGGGCTGGAAGGGGGATTTTAACTGCTGTGCCGGCGACTCCGGCCTGGGGACGAGGTCTCTCTCTGCGAGGGAGGGGCAGAAGCACAGCGTTAGGAGACGGGGGTGGGGGGTGAGGGGAGTGCCACCGAGGTGCGCAAGCCTCTTCCCCACCCACCCCGCTTCCTTCTGCCACTAGGATGGGGTCTCCAAGAAAAACGGTCACCCCTCCCCGGGGAAGGACTGCAGACAGAACGCAGTTCTCCGGACAGAGCCCGAGGGCCTTGGCCTCGGTCCCCGAATCCGGGCAGAGATCACCGCTCAACCCGGGGTTTGGCCGCCACCGCCTCCCCACTCCGGGCCGGCGCTCCCCCCACCCCCACGCTTTGCAGGGGGGTTCCGGATTCCGAGCCCGGGGCGGACACCCTCCCCCCACCCCCCACGCCGGGCGCCTCACCTGGAAGCGCGGGGCTGCTTCGGGCGGAGGCCTTGTCACCGTGGAGTACCCCCGCGGCAACGGGGACGGGCGGCGGCGGCGGCGGCGGCGCGGGCAGGTGCGGGCCGTGGGGCGCGGCGTGGGGCGCGCCGACGCCCAGGAAGGAGCGCATGTTGAGCAGGGAGCCCTGCGTGAGGAACGCGCCGTTGGTCCAGTTGGAGAACTTGCCGATGTGGCAGGTGTACAGTCCGTGGCTGGGCAGGAAGGCGGGGTGCTGCAGAGGCGCGCCCGCGGGGGGCCCGTGCGCGCCGGGATGGCCTGCGGGTGGCGGCGGCGAGGCCTTGGGCGCGCCGTCGGGGCTGGTGGCCGTTTCGGCCAGGGACCAGATCTTGGGCTTGCTGTGAGGCGCGCCCTGCAGGCCACCCGACGCGGCGCCGGGACTCAGCAGGCGAGTGCTGCCGGGCTCCGGGACCTCCTTGACCAGGCCCAGGGGCGAGTCCTGGGACTTGAGCGCGTCGGCGGCTGCCAGCGGCGAGCCCTGGTCCCGGGCGAGGGCGGTAGGTGCCGCCGGCGGGCGCGGCGCCTCGGCCTTGTCCTCTTCGTCTTCGTTGCTCTGGTCGCCATCGTGCTCGTCGATTTTGTCGATGTCAATGCTCTCTAGGTCGATCTCTTCGTCGTCCTCGGCCTTCTCCGGGTCGCCCTCGGTGTCGCTTCCGAAGAGGGCGCCGTCCTCCTGGTCCTTGCTGCGCGCGCCCCACGTCACCTTGTTCTCCTTCTTGAGGCGCCGGCGCGCGTTGGCGAACCAGGTGGACACCTGCGTGAGGGTCATCTTGGTGATGATGGCCAGCATGATCTTCTCGCCCTTGGTGGGGTACGGGTTCTTGCGATGCTCGTTCAGCCAGGCCTTGAGCGTGCTGGTGCTCTCGCGCGTGGCGTTCTTGGGCCGCCCCGGGTCCCCGTACTGGAACTGGCCGTAGGGATAGTAGGCCGGCGCCGTGTGGGCTGTGAAGGTGGCAGGGTGCACCCCCGGGTTGTCTTTGAGTTCATACTGTGAGCCCTGCAACCACATAGCCCACCGAGGGAGGAGAGGGCCAGTAGGGGTGTGGGGGGGGGAGAGGGAGGGAGAGAGAGAGAGAGAGAGAGAGAGAGAGAAAGAGAGAGAGAGAGTGATGAGTCCCCCGAACTGGGAAAGTCGGGGGGCAGCCGCTCTTGTCCAGTCAAGAACAGGAAGCCCCCCACCCCCCAGCACACCACCCTGGGAGGGAGGGAGGGGTCAAATCATGAGCCGCCTCTAGAAACTCAACTTCCAACCATCGTGAAGAGGTGTTTTTGTTTTGTTTTGTTTTGTTTTGTTTTGTTTTGTTTTGTCACTCAAGAAAAGTTCCAGAATCCGTGCATCTCCAGAAGGCCACAGCGGGAGCCTTGGTCCCATAGAATTTCCCCAGGCCACCCTCAGTTACCCCCCCACAACTCCAGCAGCCAATTTCCAAGTTTATCTCACACTAACTAGAAGGGGAAACCTTTTAACTACCCAGATAAAACAGATCTCCAAACGTAAAGAACCTAAGCCCCCTCCCTTCGACCCTGAGGGGGTCAAGCAAAATAAACCATCCAGGGTTTTCTTTGGGTCCAAATCCTCCAGCAATTTAAAATGAAAGCACACTCCTTTTAGCTCCCAAATTAATCTGCATATAATGGCTCCCCACACTTAAAGGTTGCAGTGGTGACAGGTAATTTAAAATTTTAATCCCGGCCATCATCAACAACAATAACTAAAACACCATTTGTTTTTTTTTTAAATACAAAAGGAGGGCTTAACCGGTAAAATATTAACGGGAGGGCCAGGAGCTGCCAGCTGTGAAGAGGGGACTGCCTTCGGAGGCCTCTCCTCACTTACTTTATCTGGTAAGTTCGACTTTGATGTGGCCTGAGCAACCACAAAGTGTTTGCAGGCATTTAGAGGCCGTGATTTATTTGCAATCAATATTCTTTTTATCATCGGTAGTAAAACACAGCAAGTCAAATTATCCCATCAGGTTTTTTGGTAAATAACATTTTATCTTTCTAACAACCTCATTAGGCCTCATTATTACCATAAATTGTCCAGACAGACATTCACTCACAATTTTATCTTTTGACTTCCAAATCCCCAATCAAAACGGCTTGGAAACCTAGGCCTAGAATCAAGAGTTTGGATTTAGGTTTACTTTCTGAGAACCAGCAGGAGACCACTAAGAAATACACCACACATTTTTTTTGGGGGGGGGGTGGATTTCTATACGGTTTCCCCTACTAAAAACAAAACAAAAAATCAAGCATCTCCGTTTCCCACCACAGTACAGTAGGAACAGCTCCATAACCACACAGATCCCTTTTTCTCGCACAAACACGAAGGGAGGTGGGGGGAGGTTCCCAAATGGCACACATCTGTATTCAAAATTTCTGTAAAAACATTACAATTCTCCACGTAAAAATTATCCATTTGCTACGTTAGCAGAGAGGGTTTCCGGGCTGAGAAAGTTGCAAAGAGCAGAATATTTCTTTGACTAGTTAGTTTGGTGGCCGATGCCACAGAGAAAAGGTTTCCGTGGCCAGATTTCGTTTTTACGTAATCTTTGCAAAACGTACTCTGCACTTTTCTAATCATTTGGGTTGTAACTGCGAGGACGACATTCCCGGCCTCTTCTCCGCTGGGAGTTCTTTTTGAAAGGATACCTTGTAAATCTCTCAGCGCTTCCCTGGCATCCCCAGCCGCCAGAACAAAATGGGAGCTGATCTTTTTGGAGAGCAAGCGATCTGAACGGCGGCTAGGGCCGCCTTCAGAGAAATAGCCTTTCTTTCCAAAACTACAAGAAAAAAGTTACAGAAAAACACACCCGCCGCTTTTCTCGCGTACAGTCGGCCGGTATTTATTCCCTGCCTCTTCTTCGGGGAGCGGGGAGACGCGAGGGGGGTGCCTGAAAATTGCGTTATTCCGTCCGCAGCAGCGCAAGAGGGGGCGGCCTCCCTGACCCCCCCCTCCTCCCGCGCCCCGCCGGGCGCGCAATTCACCAGCAGCCCGAAGTTTAAGCGCGACCTTGCAGTCAGACCAAGGAAAATGGATCCTTTGCACCGACAGAATGGCGAATGCCCCGCGGAGAATTAAATTTGCAGCTCCCTCCCCCATCTGACACCCACTGGGACGCGAGACTAAGAGGACAGCATTTATTTTAAGCCCAGGGACTCCTGTTTTCTTTAATCCTCCATTATGTAACGCGGGAAGAAAAGTGCTTTTCATTCGGTGCAAAAGAAATGAAAACTTTGGCAACTCACGAAAGTCCAAGCAAACACCGTGGCACACGCCGAAATTATTTCCACCAATTCCACCCCCCCCATCTCAAATTTGCACACCCTCCGCTAACAGACCCCCTCCGGCCCCTCGGATCTCCCCCATTGTTAGGGCGATTTTGACCCAGTCGACCAGGCTTCACCAGGTCCCCCCTCCCCGCCCCCCCCCCCACCGCCCCGGCCACCTCGGACACAACCAAGGAGGTCCACCAGCCAGGGAGAAACCCGAGGCTCCCCGGCCCGGCCCCAAAGCCCGAGAGGTCGCGCGATCGGGGTCCGCCCGCCGCTCCCGGGCGTCCTGCGGACCCGGGGCCGAGCTGCCGGAAGCCCGCCCGCCGGCCCCGCCGCCTCGGCCGAGCCTTGTGGGGGGT